TACGACATCCGTGCCTTAATAATAACATTATAATATTATACGATATAATAGTAACTTGTACATATTATATAAGTACTACAATATGCACAATTAACGAGCTATGTTATCGCCGCGTGTTAATTGCTGCGCTCAGACGACGACGACCTTTAGTGTTTTCACTCTGAGGACGTTATATTATATTTGTTTGAATAACGAAATCATATAGTGCATTAATGGTCGTTATACGTGCATTGTGCATTCATTCACCAGTCAACACCTACTAATTGTTTTATAGAGATATATTATGCATTGAAACGCGCTGCAGTTTATATACCTAATAATATTGTGGTAAATAATGCGAGGTCTTTATAATAATACTTCGTCTTCGAGTGCGAAAGTCATCGCTTGAGACAATATATTTAGGCTGTGTATAATACGAGATATAGAGGTAAAAAAAAACCCACGGGAATCGGTTACTAATAGAAAAAAAACGTACTATAAAGATTAATTTACCACGCAGACGTCGCTTACAATAATAATAATAACAATAATAACAATAATAATATATATACATCGCGTAACGGTGGTATTTGTCGGTTATACACGCGTATGCATAGGGGGGCGCGGGGGTTTATCGGGGCCCGAAATTCACGTCAGTTTGCGATGTATATAATATAATAATATTATATACACTATAAGACTGAGCGCTGACGATGGTGGTGGTGGTGGTGGTGGAGGAGAGGAGATCGCCGGATTTAATATAACGGAACCCGAAGGTGGTATTGTCATTCACCATATATATTATATTTTAATATAATATATACGCATTGTGCACGAAGAAACGAACACGGCAAAAGGGGTCCCATAGTCACCGTCACTCTTGCACTCTTTCACTCTCTCTTCGTCTCTCCGCACAGCGCGTCGTTCTCGCTCTGTCCTACCTCTACTACAACCATAATATATAAATACCTATATATATGCAGCCACCCATATACTACTATATAGTATAATATACCTATCCGTCGAGTTTTGCATATTAATTCGGGTCTCGACGGGCTTTAAAACTGCTATGCAGGGAACACCGCCGCCTGATGAATTTATGTTTCGTTTATTCATGACGTGCATAGCACAAACCGGTCAACCCTTTCGCGTCTGCTTTCAACCCCTAAACGCTCGGGGCTGACGAAGGACGGGCGTGCGGTGGCACAAAAGATGCGGAAATTAAGCCCGCGGGACCTTCCTCCGCGCCATCGTGTCCTCGAAATATTGTATATACGATATCGTTTCCGGCGGTTTACAGGTCTCCACCTCCACGCCGCAGCCGTTTTCTTCTTCTTTAATTTCGTCTTTCTTCTCCGGACGTCCCGATGACTTGTTGTCAAGACTAAAACGATATAGGGTAAGGGAAATCGCGTACAAGTATAATAGTAAATGTATGACGTGCACCTGCAATTAGCCGGCAGTCATTGTAAACCGCACTTATAGCGTTCGGACCGGCGGCCAAAGGTCGCCGTGTGCCCCCTCCACCCCTGAAACGCTTTTACCACCGTTCCCGCGGCCCGCGGTAAATAGGCACATACCCCACGCATAATGCAACGTAGCATACGTCTGTTTGCACGACTTCTGCGCTTTTGTCTAATATATCATATGATATTATAATTTATTATTATAAATCATTGTGTTTACCACTGCGGTGGTAACTGCGCGCGGTTCTTACCTGTATAATATTATTATTATCACCGTCGAGGAGAGTGTCCGCGAGATAAGAAATCATCTGAGACCGATTGGAGGACGGCAAAACTGGCTAAGCCGAACAGGCGCTCCGGAATAAGTCAGCTTAGTGAAATACGATCCGTCTTCCTGTATGCCCTTATTTTCACCATATGTGCTCTCGTTGTGGCGTTTACTGCAATATATATATCTATAGTACTTTTGTTAGGAACATATACGCGCACAGGACGTCCCGTGTATATCATATTATAATATACACGTGTTTATATATCATGAGGAAATAACGAACCGCTAATCATATCCAAACGACTTGTATAATGTACCAAAACCGACCCTGTCCGCCATTGTAGCCGTTTTCGCGTTTTCTAGGTAAAACAAAAAAAAAGAATTTTAGTTTCCGACGTCCCGACGACTCGGGATGGTGTCCCGCCGCGTTGTCTTCACGAGTGCCGTCCAGTGATTTCTCGACCAAACGCCATCGATTTTGATAAACGTGATTTCGTGTATTGCACCGTCGTGCATTTTCGGGTCGTTAAAAATAATTTCCGACGCCTACACTGCAATATATTGCACTCTTGGACGTCTCCCGCACCATCGTCACTCGTAGCAAACACACAATGGAGTATTATAGTAATTATTGTTTTTAATATTTGCATGTCAAACAACTATTTGGGTTCGTGTTTAAGATCCCTACAGGAACTATTGACCTATAGGTATAGCTATATTATGTCACTCCTAATCGTGACTGTCTTGTCTCTATATAGTCTATCCCGATAGCATACTATTTTGTACATCGCTGGACTCGGTTTCAATCCGTTCATATTGTTATACGACGTATATTATTTATTATGTTTGGTACACACTGCACTGCTGATTGCTATGATATCCATTCATTAAGTGATGAAATAGGCGTTAAATGAGGAGGGGGGTCGCAAGTTGGCAGTTTATCCCCCCCAGAAAAAAATATATTGAGTGGGAAAACTTGTCATTTTAAATGGGTCAGTAAATTATTATTAATTTTGGCCTCCCCCCCCTTAATTAACTCTAATAAATGCGTGATGCAATCGCCGCTTTCGTACATTTGACGCTACACACCCTTTCTTAGACATACAACATTTTACACAATATTGCCATATTTAATTGAAATTTGTATTTTATTTGTCGACAGTCCTGTACTAGTGTTCACGTACATGAAGTTAGCTATCAGATTTTATGCGAAAAACAACCTAAACTATTGCAAAGAATTTTGTGAATTAATTGTAAATATTTGTAAATCTTCAGAAGACTTATAAATGTACATTTGGGGTAGGCTTAAATGCACATAGCACCACAACTTTGGTCGATTGATTCCGGTGAAATTATAAACAATTGTACATCAATCCCCAACTGTGTAAACCATCGATAAAATTAGTGATGCTATAACGTTTTCGTAGGCCGCCGTGGTATAATGTAAACTGCATATAGGCGATATAGTCATTACGGGTCTCATTAATTGTGCTGTTGTGGACAAAGATTGCATTAGACGTTGTGTGTACACTTTGTACACAGTGTATTAATAGTGAAAAAAAAATACACTTATCAGTTTATCACCTACAACCACAACGAAGTAGAGAAGAAAAAAAACTAAACAATAATCACTTGTCTTCAATAGCACATAATATTATAATATATAATATTTGTGTAGAATGTATTGAAGTTGTACTATGCAGAGTAGTCAGTGGGGTGGCGGAGTGAATATTTTATCGGTTAATTCATTGTTTGAATGACCTACCACCCATTGACTACTTAATGTTATACTTATTATTCGTATTATAAATACCATATTCAGATGAAGTTATAGTCTTGTATAACAATATCTCACTAAATCCGGTAGGTACTCACCCACCCACCCATCCTTTATCGGAATTATAGGGAAACCCCTTAGATCTCCCTAAAAATCTCTGTCAACACGCCGCTGCGAAAAGTGAGAATGAAAGAAACCGCTTGGCGCAGAAAGTATCCATAGTCGACGGGTATAGAAAAACGGATTTGGACACTTCAATCGAGAATTCACGATGAGTTAAACGCTCGTATAACATGCGATGTGCCGGGGGCCCCGTTTTTTTATCCTCGGCAAGAGGGGCTAATATAATATAATGCGTACACCTACGGTTTGTCATTCGTTCGGTACGCGTTGACGAACCGGCGAAACTTGTCGTCAACCGTGAAATATGCAGTTTATTCGCGTGCAAAGTGCGTATATGCAGCCGGCGGCGTAGGACATCTGCTCTTCCATTGTCGTCCTCGCAGGATATACGTATATCCTGCGCAGTGTAAAATATAATAATGCCTCAACGCAATCCATATAGTATATAGGTACGCGCCTGTACTTTGTGTAGCACGTGAACCGTATTGATCGGAGGGTGGTGGGGGATGCCGCACGAGCCCATTGTGCCCAAATACACGTATATTTGTCATCTATTGACGCGGCTTGACGTCCCGCGGCCGTTGCGGTGGAGTGCGGAAATTCGCAAAACAAATAGCTTGCACAAAGGCCCGCGCGAAATATATAATACGTTATGTACATATATGCTTAAAGGTGTATACTTGGGCGAAATCTGGTGGGGGCAACCCGTTCTGGATTTGTGTGTAAGGGGGGGTGGGAGGGAGAATTTCACGTCGAATGGCCGTCCGAATTCCGGCGTGTAACTACATAATATGACATTATCATCTGCGGCGCAGTTCCTCCTCACATGTACGTGAACAATCGATTGACCTGTGTGCGTTTGATTTTGTGTGTTTCAGGGGCGGATTTCGCGTACCCGACCAAGTGATCGCGACGACCGTCACCAGCACCAACACAAGCAGACTATCCAAAACCAGCTGCAGCAGCAGCAGAACCGTCAACCGCACGGATACCGGAAAAACCGCGACCGCGGTCGGACCAGCGAAAGCGACACAGTCGTCGGCAGCGAATCGGCGGCTAATCGGACGACTCGTCCACCGTTGACGACCGTAGAACGGCCGCGCGTCGACGACCAGCACCGTCTTCACCGACACGAACATCTCCACCGACGACTGTAGGTCGCGCCAGCACCAGCACCACCGCTACCAGACCGACGGCCACGATGACGGCGTGCCTCGACGTTGCAGCTGTCGGTGGCCACTAGCAGCCACATCACTCGGCGGTCGAGCGGTACACCGCATCGGTGCAGTGTAATCACGGTACATCGAGCACCACACATTTTCGCGACCGCGGTCCAGTTTCAGCGGCCGGCAAAGTGGAGGGCAACTGCGGCGACCTGTTGAACATGAGCTCGTACTTTGCCAACTCGTACATGCCTTCCGACATGCGGAACGGCGGAGGTGGAGGAACCGGTGGTGGCCTCGTCGGTGGCGGCAGCGGCGGTGGCGGCGTGCTTGGAGGCGTCGGCGGAATCGTCGGCGGTGGGGGTGGTGGCGGTGGTGGCTTGGTCATGGACCACCACCACCACGGCCAGCAGCACTACGTGGACAACGCTCCGTGCGACCCGACCGCCCGGCAGGGCATACCACCGCACCACTACGTCGGGCCCACCGTCGGCGGACAGCCGCCCCAGGGCATGCCGTACCCGCGGTTCCCGCCCTATGACCGGATGGAAATCCGGCAGGCGGCCGCTGCGGCCGGCTACTACAACAACCACCACCAGTCGTCCATGGACGGCTACAGCAGGCCCGAATCGCCCATCGGCGGTGGCCTGGTCGGAGGTGGCGGCGGAGGTGGCGGTGGCATGGGCCAAATGACCATGAACGGCCACACGCCTGTCGTGTACGCCACGTGCAAGCTCCAGGCCTCTGTGGCGAACGGTCTCGTCGAACCAGGCAGCCCCACCGACATGGTCGACATGACCAACCACCACCAGCAGCAGCAGCAGCAGCAGCAGATGACGGCCGCCGGCCACCACCATCACCAACAGCAGCAGCACCACCATTCGGCGCCGCCGCCACAGTCGCACCACCAGCAGCAGCAGCAGGCATACTTCAGCAACCTGAGTCCGCACCACCACCAGCAGCAGCAGCAACAGCAGCAGTCCGTCGTCCCGCCGGCGCCTGGACACCACCAGGTCGTGGTCAACCCGCACCAGCAGACGCCGCCGCTGCAGACTCCCACCGCTCAGAATCAACAGTCGGTCAACAACAACTCGCTGCCTAGTCCACTGTACCCGTGGATGCGAAGCCAATTCGGTAAGTACGAGCTTGGTGCTCGAATTATTTTTCTTTTAAATCACCTATTCAGCCAGCTACTATCATAAAACTCTTACATACTTACCCCCCCCCCCTCCCAATTTTTCCCTTGTTATTTCACCACCGTCGGACGTCACTTTGAAGGGCACCAATTTACCTGTGTATAAATCGTTTTGATAACCGACTATACGACGGACAACGTCTCTGCAGCAACAGGTATACCTATTTCTAGCCGTTTCTCCGAGTGCGTAACATCACTAACTCACACAACATCCATCCCTGTTAGGTATACATAATATTACAATATCCAAATAATATAATGAACATCCTCTTTGACTTAGACTTGAACCGTTTTGTGGAATGCGCCTGTTTCTAATATCTTACGCTACCATATAAATATAATATCAATATAGAGTTGTTTAATTTTTGTTTATTTTGTTTTTGATTTTTTTTTTAACTGTCAAAAAGCGGTAATTTTTCTACCTTTTTATTATTTTTTTATTTTTAGTTTGGCATGCGTTTTGTATCGCCACAATATTAAACATTAATAAATAACAATTATAACAAAAGCATGGCGTGTAGGCTGCGTTTCGCTGTATACCGAATTTCGTTGGTGCGTTTTTATTTTTTAGTAGGTAATACGAACATCGTCGTATAGATATAGCCACTCGCGGGTTTGCCATCGTTCGCGTGTTATATAATAATTCGATGGTGACTATCGTCACCGGGGGTCTTTGCCCAGGTGTAATCTTTTTTTGTCGGCTCGTCTCCCGCATAAATCATATTATGAAGTAAAAAAAATCGGACGTCGTCCGATCTCGAGCACAATGTACATTCGTTACGTATTATCGATGAAACGTTTTTTTTATCCGATCCTTTTTATACATCTCTATAATATCATAAAGTGCCGCCGTTTCACAACAGGTCGCATATCGTACACGTAGGTGTGCCTCTAAACATTTACAGTACCTATACCTGTCCGCCGGCCTTATATATACATCGAAATCAATCAAATCACTTTATCTCGCGGCGCTGCACTGGCCGCTTTGTGGGAAGTCTTGTTTTTATTCGACCGTCGCCGCCTCCGTTTGCGATATTTCCTCGAAAGTCGTTTTCATTATGTTTACATTTGTATTCTTTCGTGCTCTTTTTTGAATCTCTTCGTTACTGTACGGTTGCAGTGCTACACGTTTTGAATCGAGTTCTGAGAAATACTACGTCAACATGTGGTCCCGCGGCGGCGTTCGAGTCGACAGACTAATATTGTTTTCTATATAATAGTAGACTATTAAAAAAAAACTGTTGTTATATAAATATGTTTGGCATCACCGTTTATTGTGTAGTATCTGTGCAATTTGATTTCGAACACTAGTTTCAAATTTATATTTTATTTAGCGACTTTAATGATCTGCAGTGCGTATCTATATATATAACCTACTTGCTCCCTGTATATTATTGTCTAGGGACGTCTTTTCGATTTTCGTCGTGTTTTATGCAAAACGCGATGGTTTTTTTCAAGAAGTTTTCCGCCCCCGAAATCTCTGTGGCTTGGGTGGTTATAGGTCGAGAAGGGTGGTGGTGGCGGTCGGACGCTTTTCGTTGTATGAGATTTTTTTTTTCACTCTCTTCCTGTTGGTAATGTCGCGCAGTAGGTCCGATTAATGTACCGTGAAATGTATTGCTTCCCCGAGACGGTCGTCGCCGCCGGTAAGCGGACGCGCGCCCGCGCCCAGCAGTTGCACACACGAAAAACCATTGGGGGTGACCCGTTGATGCGTGTAGAGAAGGCAAACGAAAAGCCGAAAGGAGCCAACGATCCGGAATTCCTTTGCTTGGCCGATGAAAAAAACCCACACTGCTGCACCTCCACCGGACGCGAGTACATATAAATATTTCATACACCCTATGCCGCAACGAAATTTGTCATCTAGGCTCGGGGGTACCGAATTCCAGTGCACGTTTTCCCGATTCGTATACAGTCAGTTCGCTCAAATTTGAGCACCCCTTTTGCGCATGGTAAACACGATATCGAAAATTGTAATCATTAACAAAAAAAAATTGTTTCGTATTTAATTATCTTATTGATCAAACAATCCACTATAACCACATGCCTAAATTAAATCAACGAGATCATCATGAAATATTAATTACCTAATGTAAACAAAATTATGATTAGAATGATATTAATCAAATTTTATATTTATTTTTTATTCATGATGTGCAAAATATGTGCTAACATATATTGTGCACAGATGGCTTGTCAGTTTTTGATTTTAAAATAAATGTGGTCTTATAAACTTGACGGCTCGTTACGTTTTTCGATAATATCTGTATAATATGTAAACGATTCATTAATATTTTCGTGTAAAACTTTCAAAATGTGTGCAAACGGGTGCGACCGTGATAACTGCCGGTATACATGTTATATATTATATTATAGTGCGGCGGCGCGTACAATCATAAATTACGGATCAACAAGTGGCTGTTTACCCCCTCCCCCTACTTCTGCCACCCAAGCGTGTAAACACACTAAAAGTCCACCGCTCACCCCCCGAACCCGTTTAAAAGTGCGAGTTTATTGTTATCATCATCATGATTACACCATTCCCCTTCCCACCCTTACTTCTCCAACTCCTTAGTCGAAAACCACATAACATAATATAGGTACATATTATTATTATATTTCCCGCGATTTTGCGTTTCCGTCGTCTGCGCTGCTGGTTATGGGTCCATCACGTTCGTTTCGTCGGTGACGATTATTATCGGTCGCAATGGTTTCGAGTTTTGATGTTCAAGTTCGGAGGCGCACAATGACAAAACTATAGAATGTCGTTATCCCTATAAATCATGCATTGGCCTCAATAATTGATCTCTCCCTCTGTGTCGGGACTTGGCTCTATGATATAATATTGTTACATTGTTCATTTTTTTTTTGTTTAATTGTCGCTTACCAGTCACAGTGCAAAGGGCCCCCCCCCTCGTTCGTTCGAATCGAATGCATTTTTTCGTCCAACAAATAATCGCCCAATATTGTTCGATGATCATACAAACCGTTGTTATTAGAAATTAATATTATGTGCGATGTGCAAATACGAAACGCGAAAACAAACAGTTCCCGGTAAACAACACAATTCAACACCATTACGTAATATTGTAATCCATTATAGCCATTAGCCATCATCAGAGACAGAGTTTACTATCATCCATCATTATTTATTTTTATCATTTATTTTCTTTTTTATTTTATTTTACATGATTGCGATAATTTTTGCAGGTCCAGACTCAGGTACGGATGCATTTGCGGTATTTTGGTAATATTTATACATTTGTAGCGACTTTACGTGGCAATTATAATATATATTTTTTTATTATCTTGCAACTCTTACCTCTATCTTTCTTTTCTATCGTACACATAATATTTTACACGCTTTACTCATTATTATGTTTATTTTTTCTTCAGCTATAAATAATATAGTAGAAAATACATAAAATAGTTTAAATTGTTTGCATTATCGCAGGTTTTATAATTAAACACTAAATGGTATTTCTTACTTTATTTAATATTTATATTTGCATAGAATAAATATATATGCAGCATGATGCACTTTTACCTGTTGCATATATACACAGAGTAATTACTACAGTAGTTTAAACATTTACTGAGCCACTAAATGATAATGTTAGTAAACACTAAGATTATACAATCGTATATACATAATATTGAAATTAAACGCACTTTAGCCTGTTTTAGTGTGGCACAGTCAAGCATTTTTTTTTTCAATTGTTTTCCGAATTATTTGTCGCTGTATTTAAATTATTTTCTTAAGTTTTTCGATGTATATTATTCTTCAAGAGTCGTTTTTTCGTCTCGTATTTATCATTTTTTTTTTGTTTCCATGATCGTTTGACGTGATCACGAAATAATTATGTAAACGATTTTATTACTATTTACAAATAAGTAATCTAAAAACCTAAAAACAAATATTGAACTTACTATCATATTTAAAATAGAATGCCTGTACAGAAATATCACTAATAAAAGATATTCAGAGAAAAAATGTATACCTCCCATTTATTTTGCATTCTTTCAAGGTTTCTATCTGCATATATTACTATTTACTACTTAATATAATATTATTATAAGTATAGGTTTTTTAAAAATAACAATCGTTAGTACATATATTATAATATTGTTCAGGTGACTGAGAGCATTTGTATCGCAAAGCGATTGAAAGTCGTATAAATTCCAAACTTAACGTTCTTGAGTTTATAAACTTAATTTTTTTTACCCACAGTTTGCATGTTTGTTATTAAATTGGTGAAGGCTTTCATTATTTATTTTATAACATTACCTATATTATGAAACCTCCAATAACACTTTTGGATAGTTTAACTGCACGTCTACCTATTCCCGATTTTCTCGGGACGTTAAAGTGAACAAACAAGTGGTTATTATTACTTTTTTTTTTAAATCCTACGACAAACAGCTGTTTGCAAAATATGTATTCGGCGATGTGTGCACCAACGCGTGTTTTTTACATTTCTATCAGGGACCAATTGCGTCAACCAGTAGCGTATCCAGAATTTTTTTTCGGGAGGGGTTATAATTTATTTTTGTGGAATTTTATCATAAAATGATTTATTAATGATAACGTTGTTATAACTTAACAATTTTCGGGGGGGTTACAACCCCCAAACCCCCCCCCCTGGATACGCCACTGGCGTCAACTGATTTATTAATGGAATTTAGAGAGTTTCGTATAGCAATATGGATCTTGTATAGTACCAACTACCAATACATATTTTACCACTAATGAAAACTAGCAGCAACTCGTCACCAATTATCCCGAGCGTGGCCCAACATTTTAAGCATATTGTATTATTTATAAAAAACATAAATAATAATTATACACTAGACCAGTAATTGTAGTGGCAGTAGAACTGCGATAATGCGATGCAATGAAAATGTCCTATACCGGATAGCAGAACCCGCGTATTTG